ATTTTTACAGTGTAACTTGCAGAAGTGCTATGCAGCAACCATAAATACACGCTGCAAGTAATGACACACACTGCTGCCAATGTCGGAATCTTTCCAAGAGCCATACGTTCACAAAGGAGTGATTCCCACTGGTTTCCAACATACAGCAGAACGTTTTTCTCTCAAAGAATCAGCTAGCTTGCGATTATTTACAGTGGCCTTCTATCCCCTCTCCTAATGAAAGTCACAGCAGCATACAGTCTCCATCACACTAGACACTAGTAATTGCAGCACATTGATATTATTGCTGTGTATCTACCCCCGAGCGAAGATATTACCTCTCTATTAGAAAGAACTTAATTCTAAGCCTTCTAACTGGGGCATCACACTGTATCATATAGCAGGAGACTTTAACGCCACCAGTCAACTATGGGGTGCTGACTCGGAGAACCGAAAGGGAATTGCGGTACTAGAATTCTTGGACAGTAAGCATTTCATTGTCATCAACTCTCAGGACTCACCGCCTACCTTTGAAACATCTAGAGCTCGAGGGTGGCCAGATCTGAACAGTATATCAACTCCCAATACAACTCCGTACATACACGATTGGACAGTGAGTGACCTGTCCGTCACTCAGTGATCCACAAAATTATTACTTACAGACTGGATACTCATATAGACTATATAATAAAGAAAAGATTCAAGACGGCATTTGGCAGGACATTCCGTTTTACGGGAACAGATTCGAACGCACGTAGAGAAACTTTATCAAAGATTTCTACAACTGCCAAGACAGAAACTCCTTAGATAATCTCTGACTTACTAGTTACAAAAATAATGCAGGCCGCTTACAAAGCATATCGATTGAAATCTCTAAAGGCAAGCCACTCCGTATTCTGTGGTCACCAGAGCTTAACACGGAGAGAAGCAGAGGGCGAACACTTCGCAGAAGAGCACAATCCAAGGTAGATCTTAATTTACAACTCAAAATGATAATATACAACAAAGCCAGAGCTTTATATAAAAGAAAAATTAAAGAGGCCAAGTTAATCTCACGGAGAACTTACTGTAGTAATGTCACTAAAGCCTTGGACCTACTCAAAAGACAACATGTAACAATGTGTTTCGTCCTACGGCCCTTACGCCCATGATGAACAGTACTGCCTCATCCAGCATCAAGGGATCAGTGAGATCATAAATGCAGTTTTTTTCCTGATGATGATGAGAGGATTTCTAGAGGAGCAAGAGGAAGCGAGAAAAACCTACAGTATGAAATTTCGCCAAGTTACCAGAAGAGACGAACTCCCTCCTACGCAAATGGAAGTGGATAACCATCAAACGTACTCTGGCACCCAAAAAGCTCCAGGTCCGGATGGAATTGATTAATATCATCATTAGAGAGATACACCGGGAATTCCCAAAACTATTCCTTGCGGTCATTTAAGCTTGCTGGAAACATCAGTACTTTCCTAAAAATATGAAGTTGGCAGAAGTGGGGCGTTATTCCTAAAATCAGGCAAAAAACTCCGGCAGAACCTACACCTTACAGGCCAGTCTGTCTACTGCCAGCGCTCGGTAAGGTATTGGAAAGAGTAATTCTTTACAGATTGGACTTCTTCCTGCAAAGGACAACGCCCTGCATCCCAACCAATATGGATTCCGAATGGGCAACTCAACTGAACATGCCATAAAAGACTTAATGGCCACTACCAAACAGAACAAGGATAACAATTGCACTCACTGGCAATAGCCATTGACATCAAGGGAGCCTTTGACTCCCTTTGGTGGCCAGACGTAATAAATTTGCTGCACAACATGGCGTGCCCAACAGCCATTATTACCATCCTTCGCTCGTACCTTCAAGATCGAAGTGTACAAGTAACATCAGACACAGCGTCCATTTATGTCAAAAATGTCTTAGAGGATGCCCACAGGGTGTCATGCCTTGGACCAACACTGTGGAATATAGTAGCAAACTCGGCATTTCGTCAGTTTGAGAGATAGCGTAGAATACGCTCGAATCATAGCCTATGCGGACGATTTTATGCTAGTTGTGGGAAGGAGGAGGAAGGAGTAACCTCGAAATGAGATCTCAATACTGTCTTGATCTGTTCTCCCAATGGGCCAGAGCACATAAGCTTCAGATTTCGACAGAGAAAACTAAAGCTTTGCTCATAGGACGCAGCAGGCAGCTAAGACGCAACCCAAGCATTAAACTCCATGGGATACCGGTAAAATGTTTCCCCCAATTGAAATATCTTGGGCTATTACTCGACAACAGACTTTCTTGGATGCCACATGTCAGGAATCTTAAGACTCGAATTAGCATCCTAAGAAACAACATGAGACGCATGACTTCACATAAATGGGCTATCTCATCTAAGCTACTAAAAATTTGGCATAGAACCATTACAGAAAGAGTAATAACTTATGGAGCAGCAATCTGGGGTGGTGAACTTACCTCTCATATGAAAAGATCCCTGCTCTCTATTCAGAGACAGCAGCTACTTCAAGTATGCAGGGTCTACCGTACCACGTCAACACTAGCCCTACAACAACTAGCAGGAATTCCTCCCTTAGATTGATAGTAGAAAGGGAGGCAGCTATCGTAAGGGTTAGCAGGCTGGGTCATCAAACTTCAACACTCTGGGGTCATAGTTATCACCACTCGGACTACGAGGAGCAAAACAACTGCAATAACTTTCATCCAGCAGCTTTTAATCTCTCTGACTGGTATCAGTATAAACGACCAACCATTTTCAGAGGTTACAGTATAATCTTTTCACAGATGGCTCCAAAACTGAGAAACGGCACGGGCAGCGCCTTCTGTAGACTAGAAAATGGAGTTGTAACATTCGAGTGGAAAAGGAAATTAGGCTTGAATAACTCGGTATACCAAGCAGAGCTTCTAGCTATCAGTGCTGCAATTAGATATGCGAACACATGTCAACAGAAATTCTCCATACTCAGTGATTCGGCATCAAGTCTGACGGCTATCGCAAGTCAAAACAGCCGGAGTCCATTGGTATACAGAATTCAGAAACAGCTTCTGACAATGCCTATTTCGCAAAGACCCACTTTAAAATGGGTTCCCGCTCACACAAGGATTCAAGGCAATGAAGCCGCCGCTGACCTACTGGCCAAGCAGGCAGCCAACTGTACGGATATATTAGAAAGACCAACTAAACTTCCTTGGTCTCATATTAAGCGAACAACTTTGACAAGTCTTCTACAAAATTGGCAAGTAGATGGACAGAGGCAGAGGTAGGACGAAGGACATTTCGCTTACTGCCAAAAGTTAACATGGAAATAAAGACCCACTGTGCTCTAGCCTAACACAGTTCTTGACAGGTCATGGACCATTCCCAGTATACCTGAACAGATTCAGACTTAGGGATAACTCCTTTCTGCGATGCGGAGAGGAAGGCGACACGGACCATTATTACTTCATTGTGTACAACAAGAACCTGGCACTTGAAGAAAACCAGCGGACTGTGCCTGGGCAATGTGGACGACTAACCACTCAAAAACAGAATAGCCCTTGATAAAATAGAGAGAAAATCTCAGAACACTGCCTAAGCAGAAACAACCGTGGATAATATTATAATGTTTCAAAAGTTCAGAACTTAAAGCAGATAACCAGAATAACGCTTAGTGCCTTGCAGTTAACAATATGTAAAAACTATTATTAGTTTATAATATTCAACCTTGTTACTCTGGAGTCTTTCCCGCCGTGATGGTATATAATTCCGTTTGGTTCATGTCCGTGGTCGGAAGCCATCATAGCGGTGCACTCACTCACTCACTCACCCTAATAAGGAAGTCCATGATACGAACGGTAATAAATCCATGATAGGAACGATATTTTTTAATATGATCTTAAAAAATCTAGGCGATTTAATGGCTTTGTATAATGCTCCGAGTTAATGACATCGTGTGCAAAATATGAACATATTTTACTGCCAGTTACTACATTAATATTTAACACCCTGCAGATCATTTAAATAGTTGTATAAAATTTAAATGAAATCAGTAATATTGTTGCAAAATGTCGGTGAGATAGCTGAACAGCGGGCTTAAAGTTGCCAGAAATTGGCAGAGAACGGCAAAGTTTGCAGATTTGGCGCAAAATCACCCATTTGGTGATATTTGGCAACAAAGTTGGCGATGTGCCAAAGACGGAGCGAGAACATTCTAGAATGCATTCTTAGCGATTTTCTTGGGAATATGCTCGAAGGTAGGTTAAAGCTATATATACCCTGCCTGTCCTGGGAGAAAATAGTGTCTTGAGTTTAGAGGTTAGCTTCAGAGCGATCGACCGAGTCGAGAGCTGTACTTCAGTGCTTTTCCGTGAAACTGTCTTCTCCGTTATAGCCTGAAGGCTGTGTTGCTAAGTGTTTCAGCATGTTTGTCGTAGTTTTTTGACGAGTGTAAACGCGTCTTTCCAACTGTTTTGTGTAATAGTGCTTACTGGCGAATAAATTGTATTTTGATTCTCCATCAATTATTATCATCAATTACTCAAAATCCACGAACCCGTAGAACGTTAACAATAGTTTTACCTCTTATTTAAGGTACTTTTTTAATGATGCATGATAACTAATGCATGATACTTAATAAAGTCTATTTTATTTTGAAATATAACTATTACATTAATATAAATAATAAAAGTGTCAGTTTCTATTTAATGTCTTTCCCACTGCTTATGAAAAGAAATATTAATATTTTAGGTATTTTAAGAAGCTGTTTTTAGGTTATAGATAGTGTTTAGAAATAACCTGTTGAACCGAGTATCATTTAAATTAAATAACATATTATTTATATACAAAAGGGAACGCAACATATTAGGAACATTACGAAAAAAGTGCTGTAAAATTAACGCTTTTCTTTTATATTTCTTTTTGTCTGTAATTTTACAGTAACGTTTGGGAATATTAAATATAGAGATGAAACTGTATAGTATGATATAAAATGCAACGTGTGACATCTTTGTTGAAATGTAACACAGAATCTTTTTGCAGTTCGCTTTTACGATATCTCTCCTGACTTGCATAAATTATGGAACACCGGCCGTGAAGAGAACTGCAATAGTGAATGAACTCAGGTAAATGACATAACTTTATTAAAAACAAAAGAAAGAACTAAAATTATAATTAACTCTTATGCAAACAATAACTTTGCACAATAAGGAAAATAAGAATATCAGCATTCTCATAAATTTTCCTGATATTACGCCTAATATTTAAAAGCTGACTTATGCAACTTTACCCTTCCGTCGTCTTTACTCACTGTTCTCAAAAGACTCCGGCCTTAATATTGCAAGAAAAAGAGGACTCTACATTACGATCATTAGGCTTATCATCACTTACGCCTCCTCGGCCATAGCGAGTGCCAAAGATTTTGATACTCAAAAACTACAAGTTTGCAGAATAAGATTCTGCGGAAGTTTACTAATGCCCCATTTTTCATAAGGAACGAAAACTTGCATAAGAACTTGAAAATTGAGTATATAAAAGCCTATCTTATATAGTTAAATAATAGTTTTTTAGAAAAGCGACCGTAAGTAAGACTGTTAATTACGACAGCATCCTGCACTATGAAGTCATCAAGGAGGATAAGCATTTTTAGTGTTTACTTATATTCTTAATATTATTGTTATATATACTTATTTGTTAATATATGTTTTGCATTTCCCATCTTCTCTTCTGACGAGTTCCCACGGTAGACGTCAGCCACTCACAAGCCAGCATCAACTAACAATATAGTATTTATGGCCTTTAATGTGTTTTTGCCAAAGAAGAAATTACTCGCTTTGGAAAATAGCTTCAATGCATTGCCCATATTTTTACGAATATGTTCAGAAGTAACATGCCATATTCCATATGACTAAGAAAAAGTTATTACCAAAATATCACTTTTGGAAATATTAATTTACTTCTCCTGACCGCCGCCTCGCCCAGCTTGACGCGCCATCTCAAGTATACAGTTCTTGTTTGTGTTTATACTACCTTACAAAAGGTGCCTTTTTTCATCTCTCCATTTATTTTCATCGCACCGCGGAGAAACATCAGGCAAACTTCAATCTATGCCTCCACAAGGGACTCCTTGATTCTTCGAGAAGTAGAAGTATTTCTTTGGTAAACCCAGAATAACACAGTACATCGCAGTTACCCTAAGATGCCTGCTGACAGAATTCAGTTTATTTGTGATTAGTGTATTGATTTCACAATTTGTAAATATATTGAAGAACGTCTCGCCTTTTTTTCTGGCAATTTATTCTTGCTGCCATGTCGCCATTAATATTTGTTGCAGGTTAGTAATGAGATGGATTATTTATCGCTGCTGTGTTTTGAGGAATTTCTTTTGCAAAGAAGCAAATTATGAATTTGAGCTTAATAGATACTATCCTTTTTGTAAATACCATAAATGGTTACCCTCCTGTAGGTAGAAAGGAAGAAATGAAATTGAATTTGTCATTTGACATGTATTTTTATGTAAAACTGCCGCTACATTTAAAAGGGCATGAAGTGTTTTATTGGAGGTTTTATCCCCTTCAGGTGCTTTTCTTGGAGAAAGACTTCTACATTTTTATCTTAATTTCATATGAAGCGTGTTCCAATTTTTTTTAATAGGTGATTAATTATAGCTTGCATTTGATCCTTCATGTTCTGATCTTCGGATTGCACTTCAAAGTTCTTGAAAATAATATAAGCTTTATGGAATATATTTAATTGTATAATGCATGTATTAATTTTTCTTCAGCTGTTAATGATAATGCTTTGATCTTAGCAGGTAAATTATTTCATAATTATGTATTCCGGTACATTTAATAAAGAAAGACAAAAGGCTGAACCTTTTTCAAGGATTATTAACAAAAAAAAAATTTCAATGGAACTTTTTATGACCTAAATGTATTTTTTAGTATGAGTATGCTGATGAATTATTTACTATTAAATATTATTATTTCAATAAATGTTAATTTTTGCATCAAACTGTATATGACTACCTTATCTACTTTGCGTATTATTGCAGTATTAGATTTTATAAACACCACCCATATCTTATCAGTACTATTTTTTTTTTTTTTTAATTAAA